GATCACAGACCTGTGGGTCCTGGTGGGAGGGGATGGACCAGTCTTGGCTGATCAGAGAGGAAGGGGCCTGAGGCTGGGCTGAGAGTGGCAGGAACCAGGGGAAGCTCACCTGCGTCCCTGCTTCTTGCTTTGTTGGCATCTGGTGCCAAGTGGTGAATGGACAGTGACTGACACCTGTCACTGTAACTTTCCCTTCCTCTGATGGCCCTGGGGACTCAAAGCATGGGAGAAGGGGGCCCATAGTAATAGTGCTTCCTCACACCAGACCCCTGACGCCAAGACTCCCAGGACAGGTCCCCCCACGTGGGCTCCCTTGGAGGACACTGTTTGTTGTCTCAGGTTTATCACTACAACCAACCAACATCTGAGAAGAAGTGGGGGTGTGTGGCCAGGGCTCAGGATTCGCACCCCTGGGAGGGTCTGTGCCCTTGTCCTCATGGGGCAGGGCCCAACATTGTCCTGTGATGTCACCCCCTGGGAGGCATGGGACTCAGTAATCTGACAGCCCCTGTCTTCCATCTGTAAAGTCACCTGGGCTCAGAGGAGGGTGGTTGTGCCCAAAGCCTCTGATCCTGAGAGTGGCTGGTCAGAGCCACCTACCTCTCCTGACTGCACTTCAGGTTAATGGCAGACACTGAGCTGTTGTGCTGACAGGTGGCTGTGAAGCCCAGGGAACAAAACAGTGTCACTGGGCTAAGGGAAGGGGACACGATGTCAGACACTTTGGTCATCCTGTGGTCAGTAGAGGTGGGGTCTCCTGTGTGTTTCAATGCAGGAAACTGGTGTTGTCTTATTTTGTAAGGGATAGTGCCTTCTCTGTGTTTTAGACAAAACTTTTATTCTTCTTATAAAAATTAAGATTATTGGGGTGACATTGTATAATAACATTGTACAGTTTCCAGTGTACGATTCCCTGACCCATCATCTGTGTATTGCACTGTGTGCCCACCACCCACAGTCGGCTCTCCTTCTGTCACCTCACCTTTGACCCCCTTTATCCTTTACAGTCCCCTCCTTCCCCCTGTGAGCACCCCGCTGTGTCCCTGTCTGTGGGGTTTTGTGTGACTCCTTCTTCTGGTTGGTGGGCCTGGAGCTGCTGTCACCCAGAGGGGGTCTCAGGACCTGCTGAGCCCACTGCAGCCTGGCTGGTGGCCCATGCACTTAAGGGTTCAGGAGCCTCTCACTTCCTCTGTCTCTCACGAAACAAAACTGTTTTTGGTTTTGCTTTCAAGTTGTATAACTTGAGGACAACCACAGACTTCTCTGTGGGGGCTCATATCTGAAAGGGTAAACATACAGAGGATGTGGGAGGAAAGCACAGGGTGAGGCAGAGTTCATGGTCTTTCTGAGAAAACAGCACTTCCTGGTCCAGGTGTGTGGGTGCCACTGGCAGGGCCACCCTGGAGTCACAGTGCACTCACACAGGGAGGGGGTCTGTGCTTGTGCTGAGGAAGGGACAATAGGGGAGGCAGGAGAGACGGGGAGGAGAGGAGGAAGGCGTCTTCTTAGCAAAGACCCTTATTGCTAAAGGGTCTTTGCAGAGTCCGAGGGCGGCTGAAACAGTGTCCCACACATCGTGTCTCTGAAAGCCACAGAAACTTCTGGTCCTAGGAGTCTCACATCATAAGGTTGGCTGAACCCTGTTTGCTCTGAAGGCTCAGAGGAGGGTCCTTGCTGGCTGGTTCCCAGTTTCTCATGGCATCTGGCAGCCCTTGGAAGTCCTTAGCTGGAGGCTGCTAGGATCAGATCTCTTGTCTTTCTCCTCTGACAAGGAAAACCAGGCAGCCCCCCACCACGCTGAGCTTGGACACCCCTCAGCTGAACACTCCAGTCCATCGCTCACAACCCCTTTCCTCCCCTCCAACAGCAGACATGACTCCCCGACTCTCCCCCATATGGAACCCCTCCCCCTTTCTTCAGGGCTCCAATGACAGGGTCCTCACTCTCATCTGAGATCTCACCTTTAACAATCGTGTTCCCAGCACAGTCAAGGCCACCTCCACCTTTGTTCCCTTGCTTCTCTGAGTCCCCCAGTGCCTGTGGGTCCCCAACCCCACAGCCAGTCCACAGGGTGGGTGTTGTTTACAGCAGCGCCCACTTCCTGGAACCAACACCAACCCACTGAAGGAAAAGCTCCTTGTCACACATTTTGTTATGTTTTCAGTCCCTTTATTGAATTTATTGTGTGTGACATGGGAACCACAAGGATACAGGTGTCAGGTGTACAATTCTGCAACGTGTCATCTGTCCCCTGTATTGTGTGATCACCCCCCAAGTCAGGTCTCCATCCATCACCTTTTATCCCCCCTGTACCTGCCTCCATGTCCCCCTCCTCCCTCCCCTGGGAAACCACCACATTATTGTCTGTATCCATGAGTTTTTTCTTATTTTTTTATTTTTGGTTCAATCCATCCATCCCAACATCCACTTGGCTCTACCACTACTTCAGATGGCTGTCAGTGTGCTCTCTAGTAAATTCCTCATCTTACCATCAGGAATGGGAGCTAAGAGAGGTTAACTCACCCACCCCCAAGAAAGCCGTGTCTCATCCCCAGAGCCTGTGGATGTTACCTTATTGCTAAAGGGTCTTTGCAGATGAGGTTCATTCATGATGGGGTGACAGGGAGGTTGTCCTGGGCTCTCTGAGTGGGTCCCACATGGAATCACAAAGGTCCTGAGAGGAGGAGGCAGGACGATCTAAGGAGGAAGAAGCCATGTGATGACTCAGCCCAGACTGGAGTGAAGTGGTCACAAGCCAAGGAATTCTGGCAGCTTCTAGAGGGGGGAGAGGTGAGAGGGAGTCTGCCCTGGAGCCTCCAGAGAGACCAGCCCTGATGGCACCTTCATTTTGTCTCTGTAAGACTAATTTGAGGCTTCTGCCCCCCAGAGCTGTAAGAGAATGTATTCATTTTGTCCTAGGCAACTAGGTTGTTGGCACTTTGTTATGGCATCAACAGACACACTAAGGCTGACTGTTCATTTGTGGAGGAGTCAGGACAGTGGGAGCGGCCATTCCTTTCACTTCCTGTTGTTATTTCTGCGATGCTGTAGTAGGTTGTAACTTCGAATTCATCTAGATCACAACAGCTAAAATGACCTGACCTCCACAAGGTGGCCCCTGATAAAACATGCAGAAAAGATTTTTCATAACCCAACCATTGAAAAATTCATATACATCCACTCGTGTGTGCATATGATGTAAATAATAAACAGAAAAAGAATAAAGGAAACCGTACAAAAGCTGCGGCTTTCCTCACACTCATGTCCTTGCTCTGACAGTGGGGAAGGAGCAGCATCCAGGGAGTGGGACACCAACTTCAGGAGTCACAGGTGGGGACCAGCAGCAGGGGGACAGGCAGCTCAAGGGAGAGCTGGAAGTGGACAGGAGCCCCTCATGAAGAGGAGCCTGGCCACATGAACGGTCAGGGTAGAGGTGAAACCACCCTCCTTCTGTCACAGTCTCCTAAAGGGGGATCCCCCTGGTGTCGGGGTCAGGTTGGGGCTGCCGTGTTCTAAGGGCTCCTCCAGACCAATGACCTCAAGGCTGTTCCCATCCCAGACCCGTGTCCCATCCCTGCGGCATCTGTGGATTCTCTCAGCCTCTTCCCTCTTCCCTTGGGGGACTGAACTGTGCACCTGAGTGTCACTCCTGCAGAAGCAAGGAGTTCCCCAGGAAAACATGCAAGGTAGCTCCTTGCAGGACAGGGTTCACTCAGGGACCGTGGAAAGTGACTTGAGACTGGGCCAAGGGGAGACAGTTTGAGCAAGAGACACAGTCCTGGCTGTGCTGCTGAGTGACATCTGTGCAGCTGGGTCAGGGTCAGCCCCCTGGGGAGTGACCTGTGGGGCCGCTCAGTGCCCTGTGCTGAGAGGGGCCCCTCACATGGGATGATGCACTGTCAATGCTTCTTGAAATTTTTCATGATTTTTGAACAGAGGGTGTGGCTTCTTCCTTTTGTGCCAGACATGGCGAATGTCAAAGCTGGTCCTGCTCTGTGTCACTGTTGAAAGTCAGGAAACTGTTACCAGGCCCTTCACGGTGACCTGAGTCATTAGCTCCAACAATTCGTCTCACACTTCAGACCAATGACATGTCATGAAGACCCTCATTTCCAAATCTTGCTGCTTCCCTCCACGGGCAGCCATCCTACTGTCCCTTACTTCCTGACACATCTGGTCCTCCTAGTACCTACCCGAAAGCTTAAGATTTGACCCATCAAAAGCTCATTGTGTTGAACCAAAATATATAATAAAAACCAATATTTAGTGGTGATACAACAGACGACTGGAATGTCGTGTGCACAGTGAGAGCTCTGGCAGCCCGCCTCTCACTGGAAACGGGTTCCAGTGCCTGTGGCATCTGTCTGCTGGGTGAACCTCAGACAGGTGCCTCCATCTGGGCCTGGGGTGGGGGAAGGCAGAAAGGGTGGGAGGGGAATTGCATCTGCTCCCTGGGAGCATCCGTACTTGTCAGACCCTGGGGCACGTTCAAGCTGGCAAGGTCCATATGGAAAACCCAGAGGGGCTGTGTGGTTACAGGGACTTTTCCCCAAACCCCCTTCCTCCCTTCCCCGTGCCTCCCAATGGGGTAGACCCCATTTGGCTCCAGACCTGGGTCCTGTGCTTTCTGAATGAGGAACTGAGACCCTTCTGAAAGACTGGACTCAAGGCCCACAGCAGATGATCACTAGCAGCCCCAAGTCACCTGCTCGACTTCCTCCTTCCAGAATCACCTTGCTGTCACCCACTGTACAGGGAAGATGACCAGACGGTGTGCCTGGCTTTCTGGGCTAGGCTTGGGTCACTTGAGAAGGGCCTTTTCAATCCACCACTATCACCCAAAATATTGAACATAGCTTTGGAAATTCTGCTGTGGGAGCGGGCACATCCACCCAACTTTGGAATTTGTCAAAACTGTAGCACCACCAAATTACGGGACTCTGTTTCTGTCTCTTTAAAGGCAAACAGGTCCTCCACTGGCCCCACCCCAACCTCAGCTTCCTGGATCAGCACTTTCAGAGCTGTGAACTCTCTCCTCACAGTTAAAGCAGAAGCAGCAGCTGAAAGAGATTCTTTGGGGAGAACCCAGGAACTTCTCAGCAGGTTGAAGGGAAGGTGAGCCTGGCTGAGACCCAGCTGAGCCATAGGGCTGGGAGGGCAGTGGGGCCAGGGCAGGTGCAGGGGGTGGTTCTGGTCTGAGGAGGCACCAGGCGCTGTGGCAGCCCCACAGCGGGAGGAGGGTGCTGTCAGAGGGTAGTGGTGGGGGGTGGGGAAGGGAGTGAGGGCCTGTGTTATTGGCACAATGTCCTGTGTCTCATACTGTTAGGACATGTGTGTGCTGATGGGAGTACCGTCATGCGTTTGTTGGTGTGATGGACCCTGAGGCTGCTGCTGAGCCTTCCTCGTCCCTTGATGGGAAACTCGTGTCCCCAGGGCAGGTGTTCAGGGCTGAAGGCCAAGTAGAGACCAGGCCGTCCAAATGCCTCTGTTCACTGCCAAGATCAGGATCCCAGGAGGTGTGGTGACCCTCCAGGGGTGGCCCTCATCTCTGGTGGCAGAGGAATCTAGGACACAGGGTCTGTCACTCAACAGAGAGAAACTGGGGCCCCAACGTGTGACGTGGGCGGTGTGGAGAATCCGGGGGGAGTGCAGGGCTCTTATGTGGGAGCAGCGCAGACAACCCCCACTTTCCCTGCAAGGCTGGTGTCCCTTCAGTTGTGGGTTCTGGGAGAGAGGGGGCGCCTGTCCCCCCCCACTCCCTGTCCTGCTAGACAGGTGAGGTTTTAGTGTTGGGGCCTAGAGGGAGTCAGGCAGTGGCCACCCGCTGGGTGAACCTCAGACAGATGCCTCAGTCTGGGCCTGGGGTGGGGGGAGGCAGAAAGGGTGGGAGGGGAATTGCATCTGCTCCCTGGGAGCATCCGTACTTGTCAGACCCTGGGGCACGTTCAAGCTGGCAAGGTCCATATGGAAAACCCAGAGGGGCTGTGTGGTTACAGAGACTTTTCCCCAAACCCCCGTCCTCTCTTGCCTGTGGCTCCCCATGGTGTAGACCCCTTAGCTCCTCACCTGGGTCCTGCACTTTCTGAATGAGGAACTGAGACCCTCCTGAAAGACTGGACTCAAGGCCCACAGGAGACAATCACTAGCAGCACCCAAGGGTGCCCCAAGTCATCTGCCTGACTTCCTCCTTCCAGAATCAGCCTGCTGTCACCCATTACACGGTGAAGACAACCAGGTGCTGTGCTTGGCTTTCTGGGCAGGACTTGGGGTATTTGATAAGGGCCTTTGGGATCCACCATTATGACCTAAAATACTGAACATAGCTATGGAAATTTCAGTGTGAGAGCATGAACTTGGAGTCCAAGATTTCAACTTTGCTAAACAGAAGCACCCGCCAACTGATAGGACACTGTTTTGTCTCTTTAAAGGAAAGCAGTTCCTCCACTGCCTCCACCCAACCTCAGCTTCCTGACTCAGAGTTTGGGGGTGGGTGGGGTGAACATTGTCTTCATATTTAAAGCAAAAGTAGCAGCTGAAAGAGCTTCAATGAGGAAAACCCAGGAACTGGTCAGCCAGTTGAACAGAAGGTGAGCCTGGCTGGGAGAGCAGGGGGCCAAGGTGCTTGCAGTGGGTGGGTGTGGTCTTTGGAGAGACCAGGGACTGTGCAGATGCTGCTGCTGAGCCTTCCTCCTTTCTTGATGGGAATTTATGTCCCCAGGGCAGGTGTTCAGGGCAGTTGGTCATATAGAGACCAGGCCGGCCACATGCCTCTGTCCACTGTCAGGATCAGGATTCTAGGCCATGTGGTGACCCTCCAGGGGTGGGCCAGGTCCCTGGTGCAGAAGAATCTAGGATTCAGGGTCAGTTACTCGGCAGAGGGAAGCTGGGCCCCAATGTGTGACATGGGCAGTGAGGGGATGCAGGGCTCGGTTGTGGGGAGAGGGGGCTGGGGGCACAGGGCTCTTGTGTGGAAGCAGCTCAGAGAAACTCCCTACTCCCACTCCCTGCATCCCCACAGTTCTCGGTTCTGAGAGAGAGGGGCTGCCCCTCCCGGCCTGTCCAGACCTGACTGGTGGGGTTTTAGAGACTGGGGCCCGAGAAGGAGCTGGACAGAGGCCACTGTGGCTCGTGGTGGGGAGAAGGCTGTAGTTGCACAGACTTCCACCTGGGCCCCTGCTCTGCCCAGTACCTGTGAGCACCGTGACCTTGGGTGAGTGTCTCAGCATATTTGAGCCACATAATGTCCTTATTGTATAAGTTAGAATGCAGCCCTGGCTAGGTTGCTCAGTTGTTTGGTGTGTTGTCCCCCACAGCCAAAGTGTGTGGGTTCGATACCTGGTCAGGGCACATCCCTGGTTGGGGTGCGAAAGGAGGCAACCCATCCATGTTTCCCGTTCATATCAATGTCTCCCTCTCTCTCACTCCCCTCTTTTCTATCTAAAATCAATAAATGTGTCCTCAGGTGAGGATGAAAAAGGGTTAGAATACTAAAATGAGCTTCCTTGCAGGCTAGTTTTGGGGAGTAAATGCGATAATGTAAAATATATTCACCAGGGTGCTGGGAGTATAGTATTCAGTAGTGGTTATGCTACATCTTGGGTAAATTTTTTACTGTGGAAATAGTTTACATTATTCAAGGGTAAAGCCAGTAATACCAGGAACTTCCACGGGTCTAGACCCAGCGTCACCAATGACCAGGTGATGCTGATCTGGTTTCACCCATAGACTCACTACACCATCCCCGTCCCACAAGTTTTGAGGTGGATATCAGACATTATTTCAGTTTTTCAGTAAATAGGTGAAACCTTTGAAAAATACTGCCATCCCCAGACTTCAAAAACCAAATAGAATTTAAAAAATACCAATTACAATAGGATTTTCTTGATTGTCTCATAATTTTAAAAATTGTTTGAGTTGGATTCAAATAAGATTCATAAATTGCAATTATTTGATGTGTGTTAAATTTAACTTAATATGTCGGTTTCCACCTTTTCTGTTTCTTTCTGGGAGATTTCTCTGGGTAAGAAAGGGTGGTCTTCTGTCCAGTAGAGTCAGGCAGTGTGTGAATGTCCTGTTGGTTCCATCAAAGGTGTCAGGTCACCTGCTGCTCTCAGTTCCAGCGTCTATGTGAATTTCTGTCTAAGGAGAGGCTTGGTCGGGTTCAAGGTGGTCTGATTTTGGCCGGGAACACTCCATAGGTGCAGCAGTAAATTCCCGTTAGAAGGTGCATGTCATCTGGTTGTCAATCTGTCTGTGACATTAATGGACACTAATGGCGGCCTTGGTCTCATTAATAGTCACAAGTGATGACACTCAAATGCTGTCATTCCTTGCTCATGTATTGGATGGAATAACCAGGTGGAAAGAAAGCCGCCCTCAAGCTCTCTCTCATCCCCAGGAGGTGCAGTCAGTCGTATGAGAGAGACAGATACACGCCCGACTCTTCCCCTTTGTGTGTGTACATGCAGAGCAGTGAGATGCTTTCTAGCAGATGCCCCAGGGAGAGACGGGCCACTTTGAAGAAGGCATTGCTATGACCCCATGGATTTCAACATACTGGATGCCTTCCCATTCACTGGAGTTATTACTGGTGTTCATATTACCCCATCTGGGCCCTGTTGGATGCTTAGTCCCTGTGACCCTGCAGTGGCCCTCAGTCCCTGTGATGAGGTGCTAGTGAGTGGTGAGCACCCCTGAGCTGTCTGGCTGACAAGGGCGTGTGAGCCGCACCCACACGGGTCCTGCCCAGCCCTGTAGTTGGTGCTTTCTCCTCAGATCCCTGACCTTTGGTGGGAAATGGCCTCTGAAGGGCAGAGCTGGGCGCTGAGGGGGCCCCTTGTCACCAGGCTCACTCCTGCCTCTGTGTCTTTCCAACAGGCTGCACACACACACACACACACAGACACACACACACTTAAGGCGAGGATTTGTGAAAATGATTGGAGATATTTTTCAGGTTTTGGGTATTTTTGTTTTGTTTTTGGCCCTTAAGACACATGTCACTGGAGACGGACAATGAAATGATGGCATTTCCAAGTCTCTTGGACCAGTTCATTATGCAGTTCATCTACATCACAAATTTTAGTTAGATTTTTTTGTTTCATTCTCTCTTGATTTTAATATTTGAAAACATAATTTTTGGTGTGTAATTAGGTAAACTCCCTGCCTACCTGGCTTCAAGATCAAACCTATGAAATCTACGTGGACCCAGGACACCTGTCTTCGAGCCCCTGTCCCTGTCCCCCACCCTGTCTCTCCCATCCCCACACAAGGAACTTTTGTGTTGGTTCAGTTTTCAGATTATCCTGCTGTTGCCTTTCCATAGAAATGAATAATGTACACGTCATATTTCGTAGATGATGTTCACATTGCCCCTCATTGGAGAAAGGGTGGGTGAACTCCACACTATTCCCTTTCCTTGGTGACAGACACCCTGGTGGTCTCCCCACACAGGTGCAGAGGGACACTTCTCAGTCCTTTTCACAGCTGGCCAGTCTTCCCCGGTGTGAATACACCTTTGTTCATTTAACCCGTCTTCTACTGTCACCATTGGGTAGGTTGTTTGTCTTTTGCTGCTACAAGTAATGATGCAAAAAAAGAGCCTTATGCATGACTTTTACTGTTATTTTTGTCAGCATAGTTCAGGGACATAAGGTAAAATGGGGGATTGGTGACCAGAGGGAAGATGTGTGTTGACTTTGCTCAGTGTTGCTGGCTTCTGCTCTGGGGGGTTGGACTGTGTTTCCCTCCCCACCAGCCGTGCAGGGGAGGACCTGCTGCCCCCACCCCTCGGACTGACTCTCAGCACAGGTCTGCAGTTCTGCCAGACCTGGAGGTGACAAATAGCATCTCACCTCAGAAACAGAGGTGGGATTTACTATTATTTAATTTGGTTATATTATTTTTGTGTTTTATTTTTCTCTATTACGAGTGTACGTTACTGTCTTTTGATATATTCAAGACACATTTAAACTGTGTTTCCTCTAAATGTTTACTTCTATCTTTTGATCCATTTTCTATCGCGTTGTTGGTTATTCATTTCTGTAGCTTTTAATTTTGTTTGTGTAATAGGAAAATTCACCCCCTTTGTGTACATTGGAAAATGTTTTTCTCTAGTTTGACATTTTTGCTTTAATTTGTCCGTGGTGTTTCTTGTCTCACGTTATCTGTGAGAGTTTTCTTTAATCAAACTTATTAGTCCTTTTCCTTACTCTGTGTCAAACCTTAGAGTATTTTCCCTACCTCCAGGTTACAAAGAATTTGCTGAGGCTTTTCCTATTATTTCTATGGGTTAATTTTCTACTTAAACATGTGAAGTATTTGAGTTTTGAATGACGTGAGGCAGTGGAGGCAGTTTTCTCCTTTTCTATATGGTTTACAGTTACCCCCAAGTTGCTTTATTAGTCCACCTTTCTCCTCATTGGTGTGAGATGAGGCCTTATGGAATCTAAAGTAACATCTAATTAAATGGATTACAAGTGAATATTGTATGAGTAATTTGGTCTCGTTCTGAATTATCTATTTGAGTTTTCCTGTTCTCTCTATTGGTGTACCAACCCCATGAGGCTGTAATTATAGAAACTAGGTCTTTGACTCCTGGTAGAGCTGGTCCTCCCTCCTTGTTCTTTTTCTTGCCAGTGCTGAATAATTTTCTTTATTTGTCCAAATGAACTTTATAATCCATTATTTTAACTTTAGAAGAGTACCTGTTAGTTGCAATTTCATGATATGGCTAAAACACAAGTCAGTGTGGAATTGAGTCAATTGTTTTTTGCTTCTTGTTAGTTTCTTCTTCATCTGTCAAATGGGATGAATTGAAACAACCACTTTTCTCATGTTGAACCATCCTAGCATTTCTGAAATAAGTCATACTTAAACATGGAGTATCGTTCTTTTTAGTGTCCAATAACTTTTTTAGGATTTTTGCATTAATATTTCCAAATGAGACACATCTGTAGCTTTATCTATTGGTGAAATCTTGGTTAGCTGTTGGGATCAATATTATACTTGATCTGCAGAAAAGACTAAACCTTCCCCTCCTTTTGTGTGTGATCAGGGACAGTTCAGGGAGCACTGAGAGAGCAGAGCTGTAAGGTGTGGGTGTGCTCCCCTGGGAGGGGCCTGCACCTGGTGCTCCTCTGTGGGAAAACTCTGTTGTTTCTTCCCCAGGAGTTGACCTGTGCCATCTGTCTGTTGTCACTGGGATCAGTATGAATAACTGAGTAGTACAAATTTTCAGGGAGGAAGAGAGGGTTGGGGTGGTACTCACTTGCCTAAGTTGACCTCTCCCCACCTCCTTCCCCTCCTCAGTGTCTTGCAGGAACCTGTACCCAGAGCCTCTGGACACCAGCATGGCCGGCCTTGAGGACAACACTCTGCGCATCGTTCTGGTGGGAAAAACCGGAAGTGGGAAAAGTGCGACAGGGAACACCATCCTTGGGAAAATAGCATTTGATTCTGGAATATCTTCTGGATCTGTTACCAAGCACTGTCAGAAAGAAGAGAGAGCCTGGGAGGGGAAGAAGCTTCTTGTTGTGGACACCCCAGGGCTCTTTGACACCAAGGAGAAATTGAAGACCACCTGTGAGGAAATAGCTAAATGTGTCATCTTCTCCAGCCCCGGGCCTCACGCCATCATCCTGGTTGTACAGCTGGGCCGGTTCACGGAGGAGGAGCACAACACAGTTGAACTGATCAAGGCCATCTTTGGGAAGTCCGCCATGAAGCACATGATGGTCTTGTTCACGCGCAGAGATGACCTGAAGGGTCAGGATCTCAGTTCATTTATAGCAAAGTCAGACAAGCGCCTTAAAACTATCATCACAGAGTGTCAGTACTACTGCTATGCCTTCAACAACAGAAGTGAAGACAAGGCTGAGAAGGAAGCTCAAGTGCAGGAGCTGGTGGGGCTGATCGAGGCAATGGTTCAGGAGAACAAAGGGAATCACTTTTCGGATTCCATGTACAAGGATACAGCAGAAAAGCAGAGACGTCTGGAAGAGGCCTTGAAGAAAATTTCTGCTACTTATACAGAAAACACAAAACTAGTGGAAAGTAGTTATGCTATGAATGCCATAACAAAGCAAGAAATGGATAAAAAATTGAAAGTCCTAAGTGAGCAACATGTTCAACAAATTGAAAATGCTAAGAAAGAAGCAGAGGAAAACATATTTGCAGCTGTTTTCAATCAGATATGGAGATTGCTTTCAGAGGTTTGGCACAACTTTTGGAAATAATGTGAAGTCATTTTTATATTTTTGTTAATTTACTATAATTTGTCAATGCGGTAGATTGTATTTTCCAAAGATGGCTACAGCAATACCCTCCATCCCAGCTCTGCATCTTGTATTCTGCACTTTTGCTCCTTCTGTTGGGTGATGGAGACTCTGTCCCCACCTTGAAATTCCATGGATGCTGTGACTGCTTTGATAAATAGTGGGTGGTCTGACTTCTGAAGTTAGACAGGGACAGTGTCACCTTGCTCTCGGGGGTACGTGCCCTCAGAAGGTTGCCCTTGTGCTGTGAGGAAGCCCATGTTGTCCTTCGAGAGGCCCCAGGAAGAGGACTGGAATCCTGGCCCCGACGCCTGACTGCTCTTTCATCTGCCAGTGAGACCACCTGCCCACCATGCAAATGTGGCCACAGGGCAGTGGGCTCTCCAGCTGCCAGCAGAGCCTCCTCAGGGGAAACTGCAGAGAGCAAAGCTGGGCCATCCCCACCAAGTCCCACCCAGTTTGGAGATTCTTGAGAAAAATAAATGATATTGTTTGAAACCACCAAGCTTTGGGCTGGTTTGTTGTGCAGCGATAGCTGACCAGACCATCTTCCCAGGTTGTTCCCACCCATCCCCACAGTGCCAACACAGTTAAGAAGTAACAAAGTAGGCCCTGGCTGGTGTGGCTCAGTGGACTGAGTGTGGGCTGCAAAGCAAAGGTTGCCAGTTTGATTCCTAGTCAGGGCACAAGTGTGTGTTGCAGGGCAGGTCCCCAAAGGGGGCCACTGGAGAGGCACTACACATTGATGTTTGTCTGGCTCTCTTTCTCTGTCCCTTCCCCTGTCTATAAAAATAAATAAATAAATGAAATTTTTAAAAAAAAGTGACACAATGGGCCCAATTAGGCCATAATACATATGTAGAGTTCAACAACTGAATTTAGGAAAATCAGATAAAAACTTCTGGGCACGTCACATGTGACTTCTCTAGTGATGCACATTTTCTTCGTTCACGTCTATGACCCTGTGGTCAGTGAAGACCAAGGCCTCTCCAGCAAGATGGTCTGTGGTCCACAGAGGTCCAGGAGGTGCTAATTCCTTATTGTTTTCCTCTCTTTCCTTATTCAGGTACCATCCTAATGTTGAATGTCACTTACTGTAGCTTAAACATATCTTCTGGGGCAAATAGTTTTCCTTTGCCTCTGCAGACCCACACTTTGCTCCCCTCACCCTAGCTCTGTGCCCCAGGAGGCTGACCTATGTGGGTCACATTGTTACTGAACTCAAGGGGTTTACCACTTGGGGTGCTTTGTTCAAGGACAAGATGTGGTTGTCACAAGGTAGATTTATTTACTTGCAGCCAGTGAAGAACATGCAGGGATTCGCATCCAAATTTCTCTTTCTCTGGTGGAGACTGAGCCAGTGCTGACGCGCACTGACTGGTCAGTGGCACATGGGCTTCCTCTTTGCATTTGGCTGCACCTACCTGGTGGGGCTCCTGCCAAGAACATCCTGCTTACAGCTGGTCTGTAAACACTGCACTACATGTGAACATGTGGCAAGAAGAGCGCTGAGTGAGAGTGGCCTTAACCTGGAGGCCCCCATTCTATCTGTCCCTGTCAGTGGGATCCCTGGGTCTCTGAGTCTTACTGGGCTCCTGCCAGTGGGAAGTTTGAGCAGGAGGCCTCTTTGGGGTAGAAAAGTGAGGTCGTGGTATTTTCTCTCCTGCCTCCCTCCCTGCAAGGTGATCTCTGACCTGCTGCAACCTGAAGCTGAAGGTCACACCTCCTGTACCAAACCTTCTTTCTGGATTCCAGCTCTCCTTCTCCACCTTAGGGTTAGGGTGTAATTTTCTTACTCTTACTAACAGTGTCTCTTGTCACTTGTATACCCTGTGCCCACCTCTTATAGGAAACTTTTTCTTCCATTTCTTGTTCCTCTAGTTCCGACACGCCACACTGGGAGCTTTGAACACCATTGTGTCTGTTACTCTGGGGAGGTCATAGGGAGGACGTGACCTCTAGTTGGCCTAAAAGCTGAACCCAGCCTTCCCCACCCATGCCAACACATCCTCAGATGTGTGTTCAGCTCCTTCCCAGGAGGGGCCTCAGGAACATGGCCTAGAGAGAGTGACGTGTTGTTGTTGCAGCTGAGGGGTCTATGCACACTTTTCAGAGCTGGCAGGTAGGTGCACCAAATATTTGTCTCGGGGACCACCCACAACCAGCCTTGTAAGTTCCCAGGCTTGTTAAACGGCCCCCTCCCCATCTGCAGTGATCTGCTACTGTCTCTCCAGGCTCCATATGAGGGCTGGTGTCAGACTTACTCCCAAGAGGTGAATTGCCAACGTGTGCTGATAAAGGAGCTGTCTCATGTTCGGTTGTCGAGGAAGGTGAAAAATGGGCACCTAACGTAACAGTTCTCAAGCCCTTTCTTCCTCTTAGAAGTATCTTCATGTTCCAAAATTCTTCTTAAATTTTTTCTTTTTTTGTGTGTCCTCTTTAATTTCACTTAGTAATGACTTGTAGTTTTCAGTGTACAAGTTCCTCACGTGCTTTTGATCTTTATTCCTAGGTATTCTATACTGTTTCTGCAATAGCAGAAGAATTGGTGTTTAAACATTTTTTTTCTGAAATTTCAGTTGGTTTGTGGAACACAATAAATTTTTGTAGACTGATTTTGTATACTGCAAATTTACTTGTTTCTAAAAAATACACTAACAGCTAAAATTTGATGTGTAAGTACTGTTTCAGCTGCATCTCATAAGCTTTAACATACAATATTCACTCATGATCTTGCTTTAAATATTTATCAATTTCGATTACTTGATCTGATTTGATCCATGGGTTATTTGATCCAGGCTTTGCCTGAGGGCATTTGGAGGCTGGGTGAAAAGCAAAATTGGGACAACTGTGATAGCATAAGCAATAAGTAAGTAAGTCAATAACTAACTAACTAAATAACTAAATAAATAAAACTATGTCCACCAATTGATGAACTTATGGCATTTTATTTATTTACCTTTTCATTACATTGTGGACTAGAAATATATGCTCTATGTTATTTCAATCCAATGCAATCTGAAAGCATTTCTTGAGAACAACATTGGTAAGTTTTCCCTATGTATTCGAACACAAGGGACTGAACTTGATGGAGTATCTACACGTGTGCATGAGGTCAAGTCCATGAGACTGGTTGCTTCAATCTCCTGTGTCCTTCTTGCATCTTTACTTGCCTGCTCTCGGGAGGACTGAGAAATGTGTGTGACACCTGTCATCCTAAGTGTGGGTTTGCCCATTTTCTCGTGTGACTGAATCACTCCCTTTATAAAGTGAGGACAGGTGGGAATGTGGAGCCGTGTTTGACCCGGTGCCCAGGGCTTTGTGGCTGTGGTCCCACCACACTGCTGAGGTCCCACCTGCCTTCTCCACTCCTCACCCGTTTTACTATACTCTCCGGTGTTCTTCTGACACAGATGAATATGTTATATATTTTATACTGTACACACTTATTTCTTATTGTTTATTTTCTGTCCCGTCGAGGAACACTGGAAGATCTGAACCAAGAATCATTACCTGTGATTATTTAATGTATCCAAGTGCCTAGGACACTGCTTGGCACATAATGTGCTTTCGATAAAAATTGAATGGGAAGTCTAATTCACTTGGTACCTTGGTCTTATTGGTTCTGAATTTAATTACTTTTAAAGATTTTACTTATTTATTTTTAGAGAGAGGAGAAGGGAGGGAGATAGAGAGGGAGAGAAACTTTAATATGTGGTTGCCTCTTGCATGGCCCTACTGGGGACCTGGCCCACAAGCCACTCATGTGCTCTGACTGGGAATCAAACCTGCCACCCTTTGGTTCTCAGCCTGCGCTCAATCCACTGAGCTACACCAGCCATGGCTGGTTCTGAATTTGATTGCTCTATTTGCCTAAACTTCTGCTTTCAACCTTTCTCTGGTTTCATGCCTTAAATGTAAATTCCTTCTGTAATCCACTGAAAGAAAGTTTATTTTTTTAACTGAAATCTTTGGTTCATTTATCATAATTATAATTTCTGATCTATGTGGATGCATATAAAATTTTTATTTTTTGTCTTCAATGTGTCCAACCTATTTCAAAGTTCATCCTTTAAGTTTTTTGTTGTTGCTGCTGAATTTGAATTATATGGGTATTTTTCACATTCTACCACTTACTAGTTTGGAAATTACATATATTTCTCTAAATTTTTCAGTATCCATCTAGTGATTATAATACATGTTTTTACTTATCATGGACTAAAGGTAATCCATCTTTTTATCTTTGTCTCATACAACAAAATACCCTGGACATTTTAATTCTATTCCCATCCTCCATCCCAACCTAAATATTACTGTGTGTTTTGTTTATTTTTTTTCCTTTTAAAATCTAGAGGCTGTTTCTATTATTTTGCACTGTTCCTATTAGTTTAACTTGAGTGGAAAGGCGATTGCTTTCCACTCGTGTCCAGCACACTCTGTAGAGATCCCTCTAGTGAGGTGGTGCTGGGGGCAGGAGCGCTCCCCTTTGCTGTCTGAAATTCACTTGTGTTGCCCTGACTCCTGACAGCTGTCCCCTGAGTGTGGAGTTGTGAGTCAACTGCCATCCTCTCTCAGCTCATTGCAGTTCTGCTCGCACTCTGTCTCTGGCTGCTCTGTTACTAGGCAGGGATCAGTGCAGCTCCATTCTTTCCTCCTGGAAGGTCATGGGTTTGTCTTTCTGGCTCCTTTGAAGATTTCTTTTTGCTTTGATGTCCTACAGCTTTGTCTTAGGTGTCAGAGTGTGAATTCCTCCTTCATGACTGGGTTTGTTGGATGGTCTGAATTTTGGGTCGGTGTGTGTCCTCAGCTCCACTGCTGCAGTTTTAAAGATTTCCTCCGTGGTCTTCCCTTCTGTTTTCTCTGAGCATCTTTTGCCTGTTTGCGGTGCATCCTGGCCTTTTCTTTTTCAACCCTCCCTGCACTCACCAGGTACAGCTCACTGACATTTTTGAGGAGTTAGCCCTTTGGGTTTATGGTCAAAGCCCCCCATGAATCCGCTACTGAATCTACCCTTGCCTTTGGCTCCCATTTCAGTGGGGTTGGCAGCTCAGTTGAAGTTCCCCCAGTTGGTAAGTATCCTCAGAGGGGCAGCGGGCTGCTGTCCTTTGCTTAGGGGTCTGGGTTCCCCCCTTCACTGGGCTCCGTGTCTGAGCAATCTCTTCTTCTTGACAGCTTCTGCATGCTGTCATATCTAAATATTACACATATTTAAAATATGTTTACCTGACTTCAGTGGGATGGCTAGTAACCTCAGTCCCTGAAAGGAAAGTTTATTTTTTATTTGTTCAGTTAGGTTTCTTCCCTGATTTTGTTGCTGTTTCCTGGGTTAATGGCTCCCTTTGGGGGTATGTGTTCTGTTGTCTGTGCCTTTTCTCTGTCCCTTTCAGATGTCAGCTCTCTCTGATTGCCTTCTTGTCAGAGAATAAATGGTTAGAAAGGCAACTTGGATGTCATAAGTGGAGATTGTGACTGCAAGCTGTCCCCAAGGGGACAGAATGGAA